AGGTTTTTAGAAGATGGAGCCAGGCTCTTGGCAGAGGTGTCCACTGCCAGGATAAGAGGCAACGGGCACCAGCTGAAACACCGGAGGCTCCGCCTCAATATCTCAACTCACTGTTTTCACAGTGAGGGTGACCAAGCACTGGCACACGTTGCCCTGGGAGTTTGTGGAGTCTCAATCCTTGGAGACATGCAAAAGCTGTCTGGACGTGTTGCTGCACAGCTGGGTGTGGGTGGCCCTGGAGGAGGGGGCAGCACCAAAGCCTGTCCTGCAAGGTCTTCTGCCACAATAATCAGGGTAGGTTTTGTGTGATTTTGTGTCTTCTGCACAGAACGGAGGAGCATCAGGTGTGTTTGTGCTGAAGAAGGGCAGGAAATGAAGCAGTGGAAAGGATAAGGGAAGCTGAAGGAGACTACGGATGGCATGAGTTAGGGGAAGGGAGAAAGGAACAGAAATGAAGGAGAAGTAGGACAAGAAAATGAAGGGAAGATGAATGGGAATGAGGAGAAGATGAAAGGCAAAAGGAAGGAGTTTTAGCAGAAAAGTCAGACAAGAAGGAAAAGGCTAAGGTAAAGATCAGCAGAGAGAGAAAGAAGTAAAAGAGAATGAATGATGGCAAAGTGAAGGGGATATGGAAGAAGAGGAAGAGTCTTTCTGTCCCAGGGAAAGAGATGAACACCAGAAACACAAAGGGGCTGGAGCCGCAGCAGGAATTGCTTCTGGCTGGCTGCTAGCCCCAGAGCAGTTGTGCACTGAAGATCTGCAAACGCCCCAGGGCTGCATGTCCTGCAGGAGGGCAAGGGAACCCTGCAGCCCTTGCTGGGTCTTCAGAGGAAAAAGGCAGAGGCAGCGGTTGGATGCAGGATTGTTTTATTGACTGGAGAAAGAAACATCTCTGGAGGCAAAGGCAGGCATGTTGACCCACCAGGCTTCAGAAGAGTTGTTCCTTCAGGCTTTTGCCAGGCGGTCGTCATGGTAGAGTCAAGCTAGTGCCCAGTGGGATGAAGGTGGAGTTGCGTATCTGGGCATGGCCAGAGGAAGGCAAATATGTATCATACAGAGAGGAGCAGGAGGGGATAAAAAAGAGGAGGCATGAGGCTGAATTGTCCCATGGGCGGTGGGGTGTGTGGGGCTGGGTCTAGCAGGGTCCACAGGTGTCCCAGAGCTTCTTGCTGTAGCGGGGCAAGACACAAGGGCTGCAGGCAGGAGCAGCGTAGGCTCTGCCAAAGGTGCAGAGGCCCCCCGAGACCTGGGTGGCACCGGCACCATAGAGGCCCCCCAGACCCAGGTTGCCCCCAAAGGCTGGTGCTCCAGAGGAGCCCACCACAGATTGTTGTGGGAAGGAGCTGAGGATGGGGCCGGGGAAGGTGACCACGACGGGGGGTGGCTGGATGAAGGCCGTGGAGTCGGGGCACTGGCGGGTGCACAGGTCGTTGCAGCTCTCAGCAATGGGCTGAGGGACGGCCACGCTGGTCTTTGGTGGGCACAGGTCGTAGCAAGACATCTTTGTGTGGGAGAGCTGGGCCTGAAAGTCAAAGACACAAGGAATAACAACATGAGCGATAATGAGATGTCCCATTCCAGAAGCGCCTTGTTCCCAGAGGTGGACCTGGAGCTGGAGGGGACAGAGCCACCAACTTGCCCTCACTGCCAGAAACTTATCCGTTGCCCAGATGGCCTCTCTTAGTTCCCTGCTCTCCACACCCCTTGCCTTGCGCTCTCTGCATGCACAGAGGCCACACAAGCCCTCCCCAAGATTCTTTGCAGGGCCTGGCTCTGGGTGCCACAGCCACAGGGCTCCTTCCTCCTCCCACCGTGGCTTGTCCCACCGTGGCCATCCAAGGTTGCTGCCAGCACGGCCATTGCTGTCAGAGCTCTCCTGGCCAGGGAGGCCCCACGCCAGCTTCTGCCACAGGAGATACAGACCCACAGGCACCCACCTACCTGTTTCCTGAGCAGAGCGAGGCAGGAGCAGTGGATGCCAGTGCTCAGCGAGGCCACTGCTTTTATGCTGGTCCAGGGAGCGTCTCCTTCCTTCCTTGTCCCAAGCTGGGAAGACCCTGGGTTGCAGGGACCAGCATTTTTGTGAGGGCAAAATCTGGTCATCAGTTTCCCAGGCTGGTGGAGTGTGGGCAGTTTCGCGTGATGATGGATGGAGTCAGAAAGGGGAGGGAGAGCGAGGCTTGTGTTGGAGCTTAAAGGAGGTGGGGAAAGGGCAGGAGAGGGGCTGGCAGTGCTTCCTTGCCTGGCTTTCTTGGCCCAGGAATGGCACCAACTCTGCCAAGAGCCTCTGCTCTGCAGAAGCATGGCAGCATCTCTGGGTGTCTGCGCAGAGGAAGCTGGACCAGAGACAGCGTTCAAGCCAGGACATGGGAAATGGCTGTGGATTGCTGGAGAGCTGTGTGCCAGGAAAGGCCCTGGGATGCTGGGTGACACTGAGTTGAGCATGAGTTGGCAAGGTGGATTGTGGCCAAGGCAGCCAGTGGTTCTCTGAGCTACATGGAGAAGAGTGGTTGCTGGGAGGTGAAGGGTGAGTTCCTTGTCCTCTGCTCACCTCTGTGGTGCTGTGTCCAGGGATGGGCTCCCCAGCACAGCAGAGATGTGGGGCTACTGGAGAGAGTTCAGCAAAGGACCACAGAGATGATGAGGGCACAGGGAGCCTGTCTCCTCTGGGGACATGGTAGAGAGCTGGGACTGTTCCTCTTGGTGCTTTGGAGCCTCCAGTTGAGGTCTCATCAAGGTGCATACATGCCTGAAGGAAAGGTTTATAGAAGATGGAGCCAGGCTCTTTGCAGAGGTGTCCGGTGCCTCGACAAGAGGCAACAGGCACCAGCTGAAACACAAGAGGCTCCCCCTAAACACCCAAAAGCACTGTTTTCACTCTTTCACAAGCAGTGACAAAGATTGCCCTGGCAGTTTGTGGAGTCTCCATCCCTGGAGACATGCAACAGTCGTCTGGACGTGTTGCTGCGCAACTGGCTCTGGGTGGCCCTGGAGGAGGGGGCAGTACCAAAGCCTGTCCTGCAAGGTCTTCTGCCACAATAATCAGGGTAGGTTTTGTGTGATTTTGTGTCTTCTGCACAGAACGGAGGAGCATCAGGTGTGTTTGTGCTGAAAAAGGGCAGGAAATGAGGCAGTGGAAAGGATAAGGGAAGTTGAAGGAGAATACGGATGGCATGAGTTAGGGGAAGGGAGAAAGGAACAGAAATGAAAGAGAATAAGTATGAGAAAATGAAGAGAAGCAGAATGGGAATGAGGAGAAGATGAAAGGTAAAAGGAAGGAGTTTTAGCAGAAAAGTCAGACAAGTAGGAAAAGGCTAAGGTAAAGATCAGCAGAGAGAGAAAGAAGTAAAAGAGAATGAAGGATGGCAAAGTGAAGGGGATATGGAAGAAGAGGAAGGGTCTTTCTGTCCCAGGGAAAGAGATGAACACCAGAACCACAAAGGGGCTGGAGACGCAGCAGGAATTGCTTCTGGCGTGCTCCCAGCCCCAGAGCAGTCGGGCTCATGCACTGGGAGGCTGAAGATCTGCAAAAGCCCCAGGGCTGCATGTCCTGCAGCAGGACAAGGGAACCCTGCAGCCCTTGCTGGGTCCTTGGAGGAAAAAGGCAGAGGCAGGGACTGGATGCAGGATTGTTTTATTGACTGGAGAAAGAAACATCTCTGGAGGCAAAGGCAGGCATGTTGACCCACCAGGCTTCAGAAGAGTTGTTCCTTCAGGCTTTTGCCAGGTGGTCGTCATGGCAGAGTCAAGCTAGTGCCCAGTGGGATGAAGGTGGAGTTGCGTATCTGGGCATGGCCAGAGGAAGGCAAATATGTATCATACAGAGAGGAGCAGGAGGGGATAAAAAAGAGGAGGCATGAGGCTGAATTGTCCCATGGGCGGTGGGGTGTGTGGGGCTGGGTCTAGCAGGGTCCACAGGTGTCCCAGAGCTTCTTGCTGTAGCGGGGCAAGACACAAGGGCTGCAGGCAGGAGCAGCGTAGGCTCTGCCAAAGGTGCAGAGGCCCCCCGAGCCCTGGGTGGCACCGGCACCATAGAGGCCTCCCAGACCCAGGTTGCCCCCAAAGGCAGGTGCTCCAGAGGAGCCCACCACGGCTTGCTGGGGGAAGGAGCTGAGGATGGGGCCGGGGAAGGTGACCATGACAGGGGGTGGCTGGATGAAGGCCGTGGAGTCGGGGCACTGGCGGGTGCACAGGTCGTTGCAGCTCTCAGCGATGGGCTGAGGGACGGCCACGCTGGTCTTTGGTGGGCACAGGTCGTAGCAAGACATCTTTGTGTGAGAGAGAGCTGAGCCTGAAAGACAGGGACACAAAAAAACACTGTAATGAGAGAGGAGGACATTACCCATTCAATTAGTGCCCTGTCCCCAGAGGTGCCCTGGAGCTGCAGGGACCAGAGCCACCACCTTGCCTGTGCAAGGCCTGCCCCTGCCACAGGAGACACAGACCCACAGGCACCCACCTACCTGTTTCCTGAGCAGAGCGAGGCAGGAGCAGTGGATGCCAGTGCTCAGTGAGGCCACTGCTTTTATGCTGGTCCAGGGAGCGTGGGGAGGAGCTGGACGCACTGGGGGCACGTGGCCCACGCCAGCCAAGCCCCTGCCTCCTCCCTGGGTGACACGGGGCTCTTTTGCTGATGCTGTTTCCTCACCAGCCCCAACCCGTTCTATCAGCCCCTCCAATTACCCTGCTCGGACACTTGCCAGCTGCCACCTCATGGGCCAAATGAGCCCCGCTCTCTGCTCATTATGTGGCTGTGTAAGAGGGCACGCAGCGTGACAAAGGCTGACTGCAAGAATCCTGCGTGCCATAGCCCTTTGCCAATTGCTAGCTCTTGGGTTGGACCCAGGCCTTCTTTTCAGAGATACAGGGAAGTCCGGGATTGTGGCGCTGGCCAAAAAGGTGGCCTTACAAAGGACAACCACATACCATTGCCCAGTTGACGCATGTAGTGTGGCTATTATCTGATAAGCCATGAGCTTAGGAAATGCCAAATCAAAGGCACTCCTCTCGGACACTGCCTGCTCAGCACGATGCATCACATACCAGTCCAACGGAGCTGGTTTCCATGCGCCTGCAGGCATTAGCCGTCGACTTCTGCAAGTCTGGCCAAAAAAGACCTCTTTTGCTCTTCCCCGAGGTACATGGTACAAGGAGCTGAGAGCTCCGTCTGGGGAGACGTGGCACATCTCAAGCTCAGCCCTTGCAAATGTCTCGGGACCCCCACTGCTGGTGGACGGTGCTGAGCAG